TTATTCAAGCATCTGCAGAACGTGCATAATGAGAAATGCACGAAGTGTGGAAAAATCTGTACTTGCGACGAGAAAGAGAAAATTCAGCAGAAGCCGAACAAAAAATCGTATCGATGCGATAAATGCGACAAGTCTTTCGAAAACGAACTGAAATTGCAGAAACATCTAAGAATTCACGAGCGCGCTAAAGAACAGCAAGACGTAAATTTCAAAAGGTTTTTATGCCACATCTGTAGTAAAACCTTTCGACAAAATACAGGCCTTATGTTTCACATGCGAACACATACCGGATACAAGCCTCACGTTTGCAAATATTGCGGAAGAGGATTTACGTCGAATTCCAATTGCATTAATCACGAAAGGACTCATACCGGCGACAGGCCGTTCGTTTGCCATTTCTGTAGTGCAGCATTTGCCAAATCTTGTACTCTTAAAGCGCACATCACGACACACACTGGGGAGGCGAATTATCACTGTAAAACTTGCGGTAAATCGTTTCGGAGATTGAAGTACTTAAAGGAGCACGAGTTCACTCACACAGGAGAGAAGCCGTACGCTTGTAAAATCTGCGGCACTGCGTACAGCCACTCCGGTAGTTTATTCGTACATGAGAAAAAATGCAAAGCACAGTACAATACTTACCAACCTAACTCGACGCCGAACGCGCAAAGTTATTGTAATTCGGAAACATCGTCCCCAAACGTGACTCCTCTCATCACGGGCTTACCACAAACACATTTGAATAATATTAATGTATTGAACACGGAAAGCAGCAAGACTTATATCGATAATGTACAGAGATTAAATTCTCAGAATATCTCTAATGTAAATCCGATCAATGCGCCTGATTTACACACAAATTCGAATGCGGATATCCCCGATGTCTCTTTAGCTGTTAAGAACTTTGCTCTCATTGGGCAAATGTTTTAATCTTAGAACGTAGAATTAAAATGTTTCTGTGATAAACTTTCATTTCGCGAATATGTTCCGATTTCACGTGAAAGAAATATATCTCGCGTTAATGAAACGAAATAATGATAATTACGTGCGGATGTTTTTCTACCGCACCTTTTGACCTTATTTTATATATTTTATATACTGGAAATGACGAGTCGATTAATTTGGCAATTTTATTTTATACGTTAACTGTTTAATTAATCATGTCAAGATAATTGTAACTGTATTATACTTGGTTAATGGGGCATTTTAATTTTAAACCGATTTATTTCTTTATAATGAAAGTAATAAATAATTAAGTTTAAAGTAATAAACGTTCTTGAAATTTTGCATGTTAAGCAGATAATTGAATTTGGTTCAAGTAGAAATATTCGCGCTCGAAACCAGAGAAGAATTCGGTCAAGGATCGCGAAATAAAAATGTTCAGATTCATTTCCACTTACTTATTAATGAAAATTAAATCAGGTATTTTCCTTATCTCCAGACGCTTACACAAATGATTTTGGGGTTGCACATGGCATCATCTAGCGTGCAATCCCAAAATCGTTCGTTTAGTATCAATGCTTGCTTTCACTATCAGAAACCAAGAGCTTGTGATTGTTTTAAACGATTGTATAAATTGACTGTGATTTTACTACAAAGGTGAAAATGCTTTTTTTAAAAAGATTGTCCAGAGTAGTCAACCCACGTTCCAAATGTTACTTAAAGAGATGTTTAACCTCTAAATCATCTGAAAACGTAGAATGCGAGATAGAGGAGAAGGGTAATTATATTAT